TAATCCCTCTTTCCTGAAGCAAATTAAATGTTTTTGGAACAAATGTCATGCGACTCCTTGTTTGTTTGTTGTATAAAGTTCTGCACAATATTGACGTATCTAGCCATGTTTTCCAGTGTCTCATTATTATGATTATTGACTGTAGAATCAAATTGTTACAAAGATTAAACAGGATTTACTGTAACCTGAATTATTTACAGCTTCACATTTTGGGGAGGGACATTTATTGAATACAGGGGCCTATTTGATGGCATCCAACCAGAGCAAATACAAATGGATCTACATTGAAATGTGTAACAAAAATGTGTTTTAAAAAAATCAGAAAATCAGCATGACTTCATGACAATGTAAAATGAGCAGTTTGATCAACATTCAATGTCTTATATGTCTTATTTTTGAACATGCAACTGAGAAAATAAGTTTGAGTAGTTTTAATTTGCTCAACAGCACAATAACAAAGAAACATACACCCAGAGTTTGGGGATAAATACATTACATCATAACAAATAAAATCAGACATTTACATTATAATATTTACACATATATTAAGAGTCTTTAACCCTTTAACAGCCAGCGCCACCGTTTGGTAGAGCACATTTTGTGTCTTGATATGTTGTTGGAAAAAAAATTAAAAAGTGTAACTCCATCTGATTCAGCCAGCTCTACCGTTTGGTTGACATGTGATGCACAAAACAACCTCTAGATGGCACTGTGGTTCGAACAGAATGCCCTTCAGCTAGCTTCCACTGAGGACGTTGGCATGCTAAAAATCACTCCTGAAGAAATCACTCTTTTTGGTCAACTTTTGTAAGGTGACCATATCATTTTTGACATATGTTAGTGTCAGAGCACTGACTGAACATAATTAGATAACTTGGTGGTGCACAAAAAAAGTTTTTACAAGGGTGTATTTATTTTTTTGAAAATATGCTCAACCAATCGGTCGAATTGGCCTTTTTTGGTAAACTAGCAATATGACTTTTTCAGAGTTTCAGAGATGTTTTCCAATAAAATATGGTAAATAAATAGCTAGATTCATATTACTAAATCTAGTACTGTCTTATGAGTCTCAGAGTGAAAGAGTGATAATAATTTATATAGCACCTTTCATGCATGGCATTCAGCCCAAAGTTGCACACAGATGAGCAAGTTTTGCTGTTAGGCCAGTGGTTTCCTGTTAGGCCAATTCAGCATATACAGTAAGATAAGCAAGTTTTTTTTTTGCTATGAAAAACACTTAACATTACTTTTTTACAATTATAATTTATTATCTTTTATGAATATATCTGGTTGTATATATTGCTCATTTTCCATAAAATAATTTTTTTTATTTCAGTTTGTGTTTTATTTGAGTTTGATGTATACACATACTGTACTGTATGATGAAAATGCACTTTTACCATAAAAGGCCAGCTCGACCAGTTGGTAGAGGCTCATAAAAACAAAACTGTGTGGTCAGTCAAAAAAAAAAAATTGTTTGTGGTTATTTATGTCCCATTTACGGAAGAGGATTAGGGCCACATAAAAACAAAATTTGTGAGGATTTGAAAAAAAAAATCAGAATTCTGATTTTTTTTCTCAGAACAAAAAATAATAATGTTTTTTTCAAATCCTCACAAAAAAAAAATGTATGTGGCCCTAATCCTCTTCCGTACCCATTTGATAAAAAAATGCAAACAAATAATTTGTACATAGCTTTTTTCTTGGTCTGGTAGTTAAAGGGTTAAGGATGTTGAGTTTTTAGTGTGCTGACTAGTTTGTGTGTTATCTTGCATTGCATCTTGGGCATTAATACAAACTTAAAATAAAGGTTTACTGTAATTAACTTTCCTTTTATGAATGTGCCATTTGGCTGAGAAGATAAAACGTTTTAAGATGTTCTGATTTTGTTCTGAAATGTATCTTTTTCGTTAATGCTATATAGGCTACGACTATAATAACATGACAGGTCTCCCTTGAAAAAGAGATCTATGATCTCAATGGGACCAATCTGATTAAATAAAGGTTTGAAATGAAATGAAATGAAATGAATGACCTTGTAGTCAGTGGTGGAATGTTTTGTAGGATGATTTACTTTAGTACTACACTTCGGTAACATTTCCACGTGTACTCCACTACATTTAGAAGCCAATATTGTTATTTTGTACATTTTCCTTCAAAACATTAATTACCTGTTATTTTATTTGCGGTATTTCAATGTATTTCTATGCTATTACTGTGTATTATAGTTAATAACAATTTCTTCTAACTCTTGATGCGTCAAGAAAGCTTTTGGCTGCGTCATTGCGTCACGTCCGGCGCAAGTGCAAAATACCGTTTTCTGTCGCGTGTGCGGCCTCTCTTCCTCAACCGCCATCATGGGTCGCATGCACGCTCCCGGGTGAGCTCTCTTTTTATCATATAAAGTGAGAATATTGTGTCTATAGATCGATTTTTACGGCACGATAGAGTTTGTAAACGTGTTATGGATGTACGAGGAGCAAATTGAGCTCTTTAATCCAGCTTTGAGACGAGGAAATAACTAACATTTTCGCACGCTCACATCGACATCCTTCTCCGGCTAGCTGTTAGCATGTTAGCATTAGCTAACAGCAAAGCCAGCTAACAACGATGTTGCTGTTTTAGCCTTTAGTTAGACAGTAAGATAAGTCGCATTAACAGCACAAATGGACATTTTCCTCATGTAATTGAAGAATAAATTAAACCCTTGTATTAAAAGCACTTGACGTCCAGATTTAGACTAGTTATCTCCGACACGAGTTTAAAGCTAACGTTAGCACAGCCCTCACCCTTCATTAGCTCCCCAGGTACAGATCAAAACTAGAGTTGTTGTCCTTTAACGCTTTTATTCATGCCTGTAATGTTTGCTTTCATGTCTAACTAGTCGCTTGTCTTTCTCTCCTACAGAAAGGGCTTGTCCCAGTCAGCTCTGCCTTACAGGCGCAGTGTGCCCACTGTAAGTATACAGACATTATATTGGAGGATCTTAATGTTTCTGAGCCGATTTGATCAATTTATAAATCATTTAATTATTTCTCGCAGTGGCTGAAACTCACATCTGATGATGTCAAAGATCAGATCTTCAAGCTGGCCAAAAAGGGCCTGACCCCCTCTCAGATTGGTAAGTTTCTATCAGACTCGAGGTCTAGAAAATGTATTTATATATTGTTGTAAATGCTCTTGCTAGACATGAACACACATTGCTTGATCGAGTTTCCGACCGGCAACTTTAACGTTACTTGGTCTGCATGTTGAAGTTATCCTCACTCGTGAAACAGTACACATGGGTGTAACAATTAGAATCCTTTATTTCAAATGTCAGCACGTTTTTATCTGGGGAAATCGTGCCATGGTGTGACCCCTGTCCGGGCACATTTTGTGAGTTTCACCCAATAGTCAAAATCAATTTGATTAGACAAAGCTAATGATAACATGCGTTTGTTTTTTTTACTATGTGCTGTGCAATTAATATATCTTTAGAGGACCAAGATGCACCTTTGCTGTATAACTTTACATTATCACTTATCAAGGGTACAGAGAAAGTTGGGCAACTATCTGACCCAAATCGAGACATGACATATATATTTTTATGAGACTTTATCACCATCTGACTTGTGGGACATCCCATTACATTGTGATACTCCTGTTCTTTATATGAATGTAAAGATGCACAAATCATTGTCCTGCTCTCTCTTTTTTGAGAGTAGTGATATTTCTGTTGTGCTAGAGAAAACGGAGGTAAATTAACAGTAGTGGCTACTTGTGCCACTACTGCCAGTCCCCTCTATACATATACAAGAGTACCGTTGTACATATTTGTTTTGAAGAACTTCTCACTGTTAGAACTAAACATATGATATCTCACCTTGCTCAGGACTTTAATCTGTTTAGGTTTGATTTGATTTTAGCAAGGCACCAGCTACATTTTTTTGTTATAATCTGTAATTCTTTAAACAACACACGTTGGCATTCCCTTTTGCTAAAATGTTTACAAGTTGCCTAAGTTCAGATGGAGAAATCAGATGATCCTCCCAAGTTTAGCTTTTGCTTAATTGTGTGATTCCATCTGTTCTCAGAAGCTCAAAGCACTAAGCAAACGCTCTGTCAGCAACACACGGTGGTGTCTAAGTTTAAAGCGTGTTTCTTGCCTTGTCCAGGTGTTATTCTGAGGGATTCCCATGGTGTGGCCCAGGTGCGTTTCGTCACCGGAAACAAGATTCTGAGAATCCTGAAGACCAAAGGTCTGGCCCCTGATCTGCCCGAGGATCTCTACCACCTTATCAAGAAGGCTGTGGCCATCAGGAAGCATCTGGAGAGGAACAGAAAGGTATACAAAGAACTAGGCCCAGGACAGGTTTTAGAGTGGCATTTGTTGTACTTTGCTGCTGTTACCTTGAGGCTTAGAAAGTCAGTGCTTTGGATGTACATCCCTAGCATACAAGTGATGCCCTGAGTGAGCAGGCCACAAAATAACTTGTAATATGTTCTGATCTGTAATATACACCTGCCGCTTAATGTTTTGCACAACTTGCATAAGCAGGCTGTTCTGACTGTATTCAAATGTAATTGACATTGTGATTCAATTTCCTTTTTTTTGTGAAATTCGGCACTAGGCTTTAACATATAGTGCTTAACGAATAAGATGCAAAGAAACCTGCATCAGTGAGTGTGCTTTTGGTATAGGCAGTAAAATGGCTCGAGTTGGGTGTATGTATATTCAAAGGCTTGTTGCACTTCACACTCATTCTGTTATTATTCTTGCAGGACAAGGATGCCAAGTTCCGCCTGATTCTCACCGAGAGCAGGATCCACAGGTTGGCCCGTTACTACAAGACCAAGAGAGTACTGGCCCCCAACTGGAAGTAGTACGTATTGCTTCTGCTTTGGGAAGCTTTCCTTTTTGATTTGAAAAGTCAATTAAATATTTGTTATGACATGGTAAACTCAATAATGTCTTAGACTTGTAACAAAATGGTCCACATGGTCTGTTTAAACATAAGATGCACAAATCATTGTCCTGCTCTTCTCTTTTTAGAGTAATGATATTTCTTTTGTGCTAGAACAAAATGGAGGTAAATTAACAGTACTGGCTACATGTGCCACTACTGCCAGTCCCCTTCACACAATCAATTAGATATTTTATTTGTTTTCTACGATGTTCAATAATGTTTTAGGCAATGGATTACCGGCCATTTTGTAGACAAGTGTTTTAGGTTCATATATACTTCAATATATGGAGTGGCATTGTTTATAATAACAATAAAAAGGGTAGAAACATACACATGACCAGATGTTTGTCACTATTTAGACCAGTAGTACCTTTTTCTCCCTTCATGAGATGCATGTTAAAAATAAACTGATAGCCATTTTGAGAAGTGCTCCCTCTAATGGTATGTTTTCTTTCTGTTTACAGCGAGTCCTCAACAGCTTCTGCTCTGGTGGCATAAACGCTACACATTTTGGATAATAAAGAGTTAAATTGGAAATTGCTCCTGTCTTTTGTTGGTTACTGTTTGACAGAACTTGTTTAAATACATTTTACATCTATGATTTTACTGAGTATATAAAATACAAAAAAAAATTGCAGCATGTAAAACAAAGTATCACACATGAGGGGGAAGAGTAGAACATAAACAATGTAATATAAACATCTCAAAATGGCTTTAAACTATCTGACAAATAAAACACTAATGAAGGGATATGCTCTAGAAATTGAGATATAGATGTGTTGGTAAATTAACAAACCCTAACCCAGTCACTGCTCTTAACACTAGGATGGGTCACATGCAGAGAAACCGTTTTGTTACTAGTACCTGTACTATGTAATGACAAAAGTAAAAACAAATAAAAATGTTAGACATTTCCTTATGGGGAAAGTAAAACAAAAATCGAAATCCTCCTCCCCCAGGATATTTTTACTGTACATGTTGTGTTTTTTGAAAACACTCCTCTTTCACATCAAGTTTTCACTTTCAGACCATACTATAAAAAGTGTTTCCCCAGAAGACTGATAACATGTTTCAAGAGGTTTCTCGATCGCGGCGGAATCTACGGGTAATTTCCATGCGTCAATTTACGTAACGCTTGGGAGGAGCTTTGTTACGTGAGGTACGGTTGGTTTGGGGAGTGACAGCCGTGGTGACCAATCACAACTGCGCCTGACGTCACGCTGAATATATAAAACGGAGTGGTGTTGCAATCCGTAGACAGACATTCAACTACTACAACAACGAAGACAACACAAAACATGGAGAAAATACCTGAGAGTATTTGACGAAGGAAAGCAAAAAAAATGGCACATATTTGCCGGAAGATGAAGCGACAGCATATCGACGCATACCTGTCACTGACAACTACGCGAAATCTCTTGGTTTTTGACGAGGAGTACCAAAATACGTGAGGATTTTATGTCAACATCAACCGTCATGATACAAGGAGAAGTCAAAATGGCTACGACGGTTGGTTCCGAGAAGGGTTCTGAAAGGACAGCGATGGAGAGGTTCGGCTGCGGGGGGATGGCGCTTCTGCCCTGGACTAAACAAATGCTCACCGTGCTCTGGGAACAGCTTCGACTTCTGGTTCAGGTCATATACTACACCTTCATTTCAGGTACGAAAAGAGTATAATAAAATACGTTCATTTCGGGTCTGGGTGTAGTTTTGTATTCGTTTTAACTACTCCAATTACAGTGTAGCTTGGAACGTTAACCGTTGGGACTTTTTTACGTACATTTAAAAAGTCCAGAAACCGTTGAGTCTATATTTGTACCATTAAAGATATGACGTCGCTTAATCATTAATACACTTAATCATAATAACCCTAAATAATGCCTTATAAGGTTACAGGAAGTGTGTTTTGCCTTGTTATATATTTTCGTGTTAACGTCCTAATCTTCTTACCTACAGCTATTTTAGCCGTTGAGAATAAGTATTTATTACTACATTAAACAGTATTTATTACACTGTACAATATTGAATTTGACATTCTGTTCTTGTTTATCTTATTCTATTTTACATGTTTTGTACTTACTTGGTCACTTGCAATATACTCTGCAAGATTTAGCTTATTTTATTTGACATGTTCCATTAAATTGGTCTTGCAACCTAATATTGCACTTGTTTGTATTACTCTGTTCTTGCACGTTAAAACTTATTTTGTTTTTTTAAAATATATATGTCTCGTATTTATTTGTGCATTGTTAAAGGAGCCTGGGGCTTTCATTGCCATACACTAGCTACTGTGCATAAGTATGACAATAAAGCCTTTGAATCCTTGGATGTAATAGTCGTCCAATGTTTTGACTTCATCCCATGTTTTTCTCAAAACTTTCCTGGTTTGAGCACTTTGTAAAACTGTTTCGTGATTAAGTGCTTATACAAAAAACTGTAGCTTATTAATATAGTCGAGTTTAGTGATTGTACTTTATGATCCTTCCCATGCTATCATTTCCCCTCTAAATTCCATGTGGTGCTACATAGAGAGTTTTATAAAGTGTAATTGTTATGTTTTAAATAGTTAGTGACTGTTCTTTTGTCAGAATTAACAGTTCAAAAGCAAGTATCATGTTAGATTAAACATGCATTAACATTAACTCTAAAATGCCTGCTACAATCAAAGACAGATGACCTTTCCTAAGTGGGTTTTAGAAACAATTTATTTCTCAGTTTAATCAAATGACCGTTTGAAAAGAATGCAAAGAACAGAAGCATGGGTTTTTAGAGTGAGTGTAATGAACATTAAGGAGATCATAATTGAACTGAATATAAATTCTACAATTTTTTTATTTAAATCTGTTTTTCTCTTTCCAGTTTTCCAGATGTTCAGGTTTGAGGTTCACGTTAGAATCACAGACGAGACGGGTCAACACATCCAGCACATGACCACGGCCGCAAACCCCACGGAGTCCTTCCTGTTCTCCTCGCTGTTTGACGGAGACAACGGAGTGATGGTTGGAGGTTCAAATCCCCTCTCCAACTTCTGCGCTGACGTGGGCGACTCCTTTGCCGGGAAATCCACTGCCGAGGCCCTCCTGTCCACCCTGCGCGCCGACGACCTGTGCTGCGGACTAGTGGACGATTTTGTGACGGGCAAAGAAGAGGGCATCTTCCTGGGACACCAATCCAGCTGGAAGATGGGCTTCCCCAGCGACTGGAAGATCTTCGTATCGAGCAGCGACAGCTCCAACGACGGCTGCCACAAAAGTAGCGAGAAAGTCCACAAACGGGACACTTCGGAAGAGGAGAGAACTTTTCACTGGAGTAGCGAGGAAGACCAGAACGTAGTGGAATTTGACAGTGAGGAAAGTAAAGCGCTTTGGGAGTCTCTGTCAAAATCCAGTGATCCTTACAACCCCTTCTTTTTCTCTGCGAGCATCTCAACCAACACAACTATGGGCAGAAGTAAAGGCAAAGCGACGGACAGTGAAGCTGACCACCTGTCAGTGAGCAAGGCCATCTGGGTCAGCCGCTCTGACAGCGAGAGCAGTTGGAGCAGCTGGGCCAGCTCGGACAGTTCGAGTCCCAGCATCGATGAGGAGAACGAAAGACTCTTGGAGTTCTTCAGCAGTCCCAATGACCCCTACAACCCCATGTGCTTCACTGCGTCCACACTCAGCAGCAAATCACCTCCAACCAGCGCAGTCTCCAAACCACAGGCCTCCCCTCCTGCTCCCCCCTCCAGGTCCGATACAGACACTGAGGAGAAAGAGAGCAGCTCCCCTCCTTCTTCAGAGGACGACGAAGAAGATCAGCTGTGGAAAGCTCTTTGCCAAAAGGACGACCCGTACCACCCTCTAAACTTCCAGGCCTGCCTCCAGAGCTCCCCGACAACACCGCAGTTTGAAGATACACATCCCCTCGATGTTCACCACCACACAAAAAATCAATCAACAAAGAAAAATAAGTGTGAAAAAACGCCTACAAAAACCAGAGCCAGCAAGCCCTCACTAACAGAGAGGAAGATACAGCATCACTCCCATCCAGACAAGACCGTGGTGCCCTGGAAGAAACCCCGACAAACCCCTCAGTCACCGCCGGAGGAGGAGGAAAGCACGACCAGCAGCACCCAGAAAAAGGTCAATATCTAATAACAATTTCAATATAAACGGCCAGCCTGGATTAGATGAAGTAATACATAAAAGCCCCGCAGTATTTGATGTAAAACTAGTGTACTATGTCTAAACAGAGCATTGCAATCGCCTTAGATGCAAGACAAGGTTAAAAAGATGTAACTATACCACTGTATTCCATGGAAGGCTGAAAAGCTTTAATTGGAAGAAATAAACCCAGTGTCAAAAATAGTTGGCAGTTTTACTTAGAAATTCCCTTTGCCTTTAGTTGGACAGCACTATTATCTCCTCCCAGTTGATTGGCTGCATTGTACAGAGGAGCATGTGATCTGTTATTTAAAAGGAGTACATCATTATCTAAGGAGTGCCTTAGTGCTGACTTTTGCAACCTCTTGTGGCGAGATAAGGGTTAACCCTGCCCGGGATCACTGTTAGAATGAGCTGTTGTTTGTTGTTGGTTAGCAACGCTGCTGGTAGTCATGACTAAGCCAGTCATGTGACTCCAGCGAGTCAGCAGAGAGTTATTGGACTCAGTGTTAGTTGTTATGGTTATTTTGAATACTTTGACACCCGGTTTCATCAGAGCCAGGAAATAGAGCCTGAGGCAGAGAAACAAGTCTGACTGATCACACGCCTCTGTAAACAGTCAGTCAGTGCGGGGAAAGTACGTGGCTTTCACAGAGTCATTTAAGGGGTATTTTCAAATTGGGTTTGACCTATTTCGAACTAAGATCTGAGTTGATAAAACATCTACTGAGTGATATTGTCTTCTCTTCATCAGGAGCACGTTACAATCCCTAAAGAAACATAACAAATGTACCAGACTTAATTCAATATTCATCTTCATTTCCTCTGGATTTCAGGTGCGATTTTCTCCTCTGGTCCAAGTCCACGTCATGCGCACCTGGCCGTTTGCTCGCCAGGCGTCTCGCAAAGGACACTGGGAGGAAATGGTGCGAGACCGGGACCGCTTCAGGAGGAGGGTCCAGGAAACCGAGCAGGCCATCGGACACTGCTTCTCCCAGGAACACAGAGAGAAGCTGCGGGCGTATCGGCACGGT